TATAATCTATAACTAAATTTACTTTTAGGTTGTGCTTCAAATTTGATACACATCACAATCAATACATTTCTGAGGAAAAGGACTGAAAAATCATACCACTTAGAAATGTCAGTGTTTTTATTTCTAATTGCCAGAGATGCAAACCTAAGGCAGATGTGTAATTTGAGATATTTGTGAAACAATGATGGTTAAGCATAAAAACATTTTAAAAAAAGTCATACCAAGGATGCAAAACAAGCCACCCTTCAAAACTAGCCAAACAATCTCATCACATTTAAATACTGCCATTTAAACTTACTAGCTAAAAGACTGAAATTAATCTGAGATGTGATGCATTAATGATTGAATTCTGGTGGAGGTTAGCTTTCAAATAAACTGGCACTCAGAACTCTATGAGAGAAACCAGAAGTGATGAAACTGATTGTGTTTCAGATGAAGTGGTAAAATTTTAGTTTTAAACAAAGAGAAATAGGACGTTTCAGGTGGAAGCGTGTTCCCATCACTGCCCTACATGGAGAGGTTTTGAGCTGGAGAGTAGCTTTGGATCTAAGAATATTCTGATGGTGTTGGCGAGGCTGGAAAGGGGAGATGCTCGAGGCAAGAGGGCGAGGCAGAGCTGTCAAGGTTGGGATGTAGGTGGTAGCAAGGACGCATAGGGAAAGACATGGAAACTGTTGGATGGGCTTGTTGACAAGGCTTAGGGTCTGCTTGGATGTGGGAGACTCAGGAGGGGAAGGGGTTCCAGTGACAGCATTAAGACTTTCCAGATGGTTTTCAGAGCAGCTGAAAGGAACAAGCTGACATAAATGTCCTACTTTTAGGCCAACCGTGAAATAGGTCCTAACCTCCAGCAAAGCCTTCAGAAGCCATAACCTGTCCTTCTCTAAAAAATTCTCTTCTACCTTAGAAGAGAAGAAAAGTCACTCAGTTGTGTCCAACTCCTTGCGACCCCATGGACTGGAGCCCACCAGGCTCCTCAGTCCATGGGATTTTCCAGGCATGAATACTGGAGTGGGTTGCCATTTCCTTCTCTAGGGGATCTTCCCGACCCAGGGATTGAACCCGGGTCTCCCACATTGCAGGCAGACACTTTACCATCCAAGCTCCCAGGGAAACTCTTCTACCTTAGGCTCTTGAGAAAAGAGCCCTGGTTTAGCACTCATTGTGACTTTAATTTGGAGAAAATATAGTTTTATCACAAGAATTCTTAAGTGGAGAAATATCATCTTTTTCATAGCATTTTTGCCATGATTTCCCTTCTCTACCTTTTAATGAAGGGAATGGCTTCTAATTTCCTATGTGAAAACTTGGGATAACAACCCCTGCCCCAAAGTGCCACTCTCAGGCTTCTGAGAGATAATCATGCATGTGCCATGCACGCACTGTTTAGAAGCAGGGTATTAAGGTTTCTCTACCCATCAGATACTTTCTGTGTAATGCCTGCAGGTAATAAGAAGGACAGTGGTGGAAGTTACTGGGGAATCGATTTTGCCCCAGGGTAAAGACAAACCTTCTGGGATCCAGAAATTTCAAAACTTGAAACAGCTACCTAGAGAGAGAGAAAGAGAGAGAGCCACATGCCCTGAGGGTGTTCTAGCCAAGCACTGTGGCAGAAAAGAGTTTCCATCAAACCATGATGCATAGGATAGATGATGGTCTTATTCATCTTCATGGGTTTACCAAACCAAATTTATATATAGTTATCTGTCTCTCCATTCTTTCTGGTAAAGAGAGCACAGCAAAACTCTCAGTGGATGAAAATGTTGATAATTTAGCTTTAAGAGTAACAGGTTAACATTTGTTAGCTATTTATCGTTGGCTGGAAATATAGGTGATTTTTGTGCCCTCACGTTCAACCTGTGGGAATATGCTGTGAAACCAGGCTTCTGACTAATTTGAAATAGGCTCACAGCACTGGAACCCCCGCCTATGACTTCTCAGCAAGCAAGTGAGGAAGCCAGGATGGACACATGTGTTTGCTCACCTCAAAGTGGTATTTGCTGAGACGGAGGAGGAGGGAGAGGGGAGGAGCCCAGGCAAGGTGGGGGAGAAAGCAGTCACAGATACTAGCAGAGCCCCTAAATATCATCAGGCACAAGTCATTTGGATGCACACCACGAATGAAAAAGCACAAGATAGAGACACACTCTTCACAGTCTCACGCTTTTCCACCCAAGTGCACCATCTGCTTCAGACAGTGACCATATGCCCCCAGTAGCTGGGAGTTAGCCTGTAGAAATTTTTTTTTTTTTAAATTTTATTCCCTAACTGGGCCATACTTGTTTAATGTAAAACATACCTCCATATTTTTTATTTTTATTTTTTTAAATTTTTTTGATTTGGCTGTGTTGAGCCTTAGCTGTGGCATGCCGGATCTTTGCCCTAACCCTAACCCTAACCTATCATGTGGAATCTTTTGTTTGTAGCGCATGCACTTTCTAGTTGTGCTGAGTGGGCTTCAAAGTGCACAGTATTAGTAGTTGCTGTGCGTGAACCTAGGTGCCCTGGGGCCTGTGGGAGCTTAGTTCCCTGACCAGGGATCAAACCCACGTCCTTGGTATTGCAAGGCGGATTCTTAGCCACTGGACCTCCAGGAAGTCCCAGCCTCCATATTTCAAAGCAAAATAAATGTACAATAGAGTGCACGTCATCTTTATCTCGGGCCTTCATGCATCTCCTAGGAAAGCCATTCTTTCTCCTGCCCCAATATTCCAGTTTCAGAAGCACCATCTGAAAATGTATACATTCACTGGTCTAGAGGTGGTTCAAATATCCAATGGACTTTTATAAAATCCTCTAATTATATCAACAAATTAGCATTCCAGAGGTTTACAAGGCAACCACTATTCATACAGTTATAATATCTCAAGATTTTTATGCATTTTGCCTACTTAGTTTTCATTGGCAGAGCGCAGCTAGAATCTCCAGGGACTTCTGGTCTACCCTCAATATTCTTAATCTGCTCCAGCAGTGCTAAAACAAGCTCTCTCCTGGGTCGTAAGTCCAGCATTCTCAGAAGGGTTGTGTTCTTCGGCAGCCTCCTTCAGTGCTCACAAACTCTAGCTCCTCATTGTGTTGAGAGTCAGGAGATACTGTCTGTTGTCGCTGCACCTGTTATCTTATTGGCCTTATCCAAACAGCCCCAGCCCGAGCAGCAGCTGAAACAACAGATGGGCAAGAGGACTTGAGATTTTTTGACACCATCCTTTTGTTTATGAATCCCCCCTCACCCCAACTCTGGAATCTGATAGGAATTCTCTTCATTACCATTTTGTGCTTTCTTTTTTCCCATGACACATTTTTATTATTAAAAAGTAATTAATTGGTGCAGAGGGAGATGAAAGAGAAGAATAACATTTCTCTTTGAAAATGGTCAGAAAGGAAATGGGGGTGGTGATTTGGTCATGTGGATAAATATATCTTTGCCCTGGAAGATAATTGCCAGTATCCAGGTTCCTTCCATGGCAGGGAATTCAAGTAAGGAGCTGAGAAGAGATAAGAAGGGGAGGAAGGTGATCTGGTATAAGGTTGAGTGCCAGGAAAGTGGAACAGGCATTGCTCTGGGGGGTCTTGAGCGCAGAGGAGAGATGCAATCTAGGTAAACTGGAAATCTAGCAGGAACCACAGGCTGGAACTGCAATTGCAGGACAAGATTTCCCTTTGCAAGGAGTGAAATTGTTCAAGCAGATCTGAGCTAGGAATTAGGGAGGCAGAGTGCAGGATATACTTTAATGCCATGTGGCTGTAAGCATGTTGCTTAATCTCCTTATGCCTCAGATTCATCATCTGCAAAATAAACATGAAACTACTAGTATGCATGTAGTGTTGTTTTGATTCTCAAATGAGAAAACACACAGAAAGTGCTTAGCCCCAGGCTGGACATTCATTTAATAGTTGCTGCTATTATTATTATTTTAGTCAAGAGTGAGAGGCACAGCGCAGAGCAAGTGGCAGGGAGACGGATCGTCACTGGATGTGAACCGTAGGAAAGCACTTCTTGCTTATGTGGGGTTTCCGCTCACATCTTAGGATGAGGGCAATAGAGCAGTGCCCACAGAACCCACGTGGCGCTTTCCCACCTCTGCGCTTTTACTCATCCCATTTATTTTTCCTAGATGGCATTCTCCAAGACATCTTCATTGTGGGCCATATACCATCTAATTCTTATCCACCAGGGTTATCCTAAAGATTAAACTAAAAATAAAAAGTGCTCAGTCGTTCAGTTGTGTCCAACTCTTGGCGGCCCCGCGGACTGTAGCCCTCCAGGCTCTTCTGTTGATGGAATTTTCCAGGCAAGGGTACGGGAGTAGTTGCCACTTTCTACTCCAGCCAGGGATCAAACTCACATCTCGTGTCTCCTGCATTGGCAGGCAGATTCTTTACCGTTAGCGCCACCTGGTAATATTCGTGGTCGTATGTCAGTTGTTGCCTCATTTTAGTATAGCCCATCATAAGTGGGAGAGTGGCTTAATCACGGTAGACATGAAAAATTACTGGATAACTAACTTATGTGTGGATTCTAACATGTGACACAAATGAACATATCAAGAAAACAGAAAGAGACTCATAGACATAGAGAACATTCTTGTGGTCACCAAAGGAGAGTGGGATGGGGGAGGGGAGGATTGCAAACTTGGGACTATCAGATGCCAACTAGTGTGTATAGGATGAATGAACACCAAGGTCCTACTATATAGCACAGGGAGCTATATTCAATCTCCTGTAACAAACCATAACGGAAAAGAATATGAAAAGAATGTGTGTCTGTGTACAAAGGAGTCACTTTTGCTCTACAACAGAAATTAATATAACATTGTAAATCAACTATGCTTCAATAAAATTTCTAAAAAACAAATAACAATTATTGAATAATTAAATATGTGGGTGGTATCAGAAGCAAGCCAGACTAGTAGAAATGTACTCAAGAGGGTCCATTTTGTCTGTCCCCAGCCTTGCATCTGTATAGTTAATAGTCTTCCTTATGTTTTTATGTTTTCCAGAGATGTCCATCTTGGCAGTATGTACCAGTATTGGGTCATTGCTATTTCAGGAAATGAAGAGAGTGAGCTGTCACCTGCTGCCACGTACATCCACGGAAGTGGGTACTGTGGTGATGGCATCGTTCAGAGGTAAGTAGGTGTAGCTACAGACACGGCGGGAGGCAGTGCTAATTAGGCCAGAAGGTGGTCGGGGTGCCAAAGAGAAGCACTTATGGGCTACCCTTCAGGGTGTGAGCTGTGAGGGGAGCCCCAGCAATCTGCAAGTTGATTTGTCTGCAAGTAGTTGGCAGGCCTCAGAAGAAAAGCTGTGACTCTTTTTTTGAGCAAACACGTTTCTCAAATGTGTAATAATATAAGATTTCCACAGGGCCACCATTCGGCACTGAGTACCACGGTGCTGTTGTTCCTCATTGTTTCCTATGTGCCACAAAGATTCTATTAGTTTTTTCCACCTCAGTCCACATTCAGTTAACAGGACACAGAGCACCTACGTGAGAACACTTTCACATTCTTTGCTGGTTACCGTTTACACTTATTAAAATTGAAAGTGTATTTATTATTTCTATTGTGTTATGTCAACAGTTTACAAAATGGGTCAGTCTCATAGAAACAGCAAAATATTTCAACTCTTCTGTAATGTTGAAACCATAAATAGTAAGCAGTCCTCTAGAGTGAACATTGAATATGACTATTAAGTACAGGAGGCAAATGAATCGGTAAGTGTAAAGATTCCACACGAGCAGCCAAAAGAAAGGATAAGTGTGATTAGAAAATACAAAGCTGTGTGTCTAGAAAATGGATTTTATCGGATCATCAGTCCATTCATCCCCTGTCCACAGGGCAAGATGTTACGCAACTGAGCAATAGTGGCGAGAAGCCATCAAGACTTTTGCATTGTTGAAAAAAAAAAAGAAATCTTTGGTTTTTTTTTTTTTTTTCTCCAGAGTAAGCATAAAAATGGCTTGTCACTCAGTTAAATAGTTTTGGTCCTCAAGATGAAAAAGAGGCCAAGGATCATTCACAAACTCCTTATTGCTAAGCCTGTGTTCTTTCTTGCAATCACAGTTGCAAATCACACTATTGCTAAGGGACTTTTTAAACTATTGGCGAATTTAATAATAAACGTTACATATGGAGATGACACAACATGCTATTGGCAAAATTCCATCATTAAATGGCACCATTGGGTGTCACAGAGTATCTGTACACCATGGGATTGCAATTACTATTTCTGTAGGGGGAGGGGCCCTTTAAAGGGAATTTGTTTCACTGATGTGCAGAACATGAATCAATTCATAGGTATAATTCGTATAATGAAAGAAAAGGGCTCAATGACTGTTTCCTTGGTTTATCATTGACACTCGTGCTAGAGGTCAAGACAATTTAACTGGATGCTGTTGATTTTGTGGTGTGTAATATACACTGGAAAGCTGCTGTGGAATGAAAGGACCAGCTAGGAGCACACCAAGGATGATGCAGCGATGCAGAGAAAGAGTGTGTCCATGAATACACATTTGCACAGACACCCACTATTGGCCAGCAGTTTGCCTTCTGATCATGGCTTAGCACTGAAGGAAAAAGCAGATGTCGAGAATATGATCGGATGCCGGCCAGTGAGCCACATCTGCCCAACTTATTGTGCAAAAGGATAGCAGCATGTGCAAGACACTGCTCCCCTAAACACCCTGAAATAAACCAGCTGCTACAAGCAGGGTACTAAGTCAAGTTTTTGAAATAATGAATGACTTTTTTTGTTTTTTCTTTACTGTTAACACTGATAAAGACCAGTATTGAATATTTGTGCAATTTCAAGTGATTTGCTGAAGTGATGTAGCTCAGGTATATATATATGTGTGTCCATGTCTTAAACGTCCTGCACCTATAATTTCAAAGCTGAATTATCTAGATTTCAATACGGAGGGGGGTAATAATAAGGATTTTTAAATGTTGAATTATGATGCAAACCACCTGATTGCCAAGAAGTTGACTCTTCAAGCATACAAAATAAAACTCCACACTTGTCAGAGATTGACATTGATGGTGTGCTATTGCCTACATTTAAGATCCTCATCCAGGTGCAACAATCCAACATGAACATATGGTTTCAGGCACTTAATGTAACAAAATTGGGCAAAGGGAAGATACTGTTTCCTTCCACATGAAGACATCTACTTCTAGCTTTTGATAAAGCTGTTGTCTGATAGAACCCTGAGCAAGTGAACAAGATCATCTCCAGGGAAAGTGCTGCATCTTTTATGGGTCCAAGATTAAGCTACATATCCAGAACATCCAGGAAACGGTCATGGTCATTGCCGACAACCCATAATTGTGACTTGGGATTTTTTAATTTAGCAAGAGGAATAAAAAAGAAACTCACTATGTGTAGGAACTGGTCTACAATTCTGTCTGTCCATTTTGGAATCAGATATAGATAGAGCTTCCTTGATGGCTCAAGTGGTAAAGAATCTGCCCACAGTGCAGGAGACCTGAGTTCAATCCCTGGGTCGGGAAGATCCCCTGGAATAGGAAATGGCAACCTACTCACTATTCTTGCTTGGAGAATCCCATTGACAGAGGAGTCTGGCAGGCTACAGTCCATGGGATCTCAAAGAGTCAGATAGGACTGAATGACTAACACTTTTACTTTTCAGAGATATATTGATAAAACACTGCAAGCAATATCATTACTGACCTAAAACTGCTGGTAGTAGAATAATTTAAATATCATTCTGAGCAAGGTTTTTTAGTATTTTATACCTAGGATTAATAACCTTCATAGATGTCAAATAGGTTTTGAATTACCTGCAGGTACCAAACAGTTGCATTCAGTTTTCTACTAACTATGTCAACAACTGTTTGGTACCTAACCTAAGCAAAAAAAAAAAAAAAAACAAAAAACTTTGAGGGTGAGAAGGACTGTCATCTTCACTAACTGGATTTTTCATGGGATGATACATGCTAATTTGCTATATATATGCAAAGGAATTTATGAAGAAATACAGATAGACTCAACACTCAGTGAGGTCCCTGATGAGAAAAAAGCACTGGATGACTGTTATAATGATAATTATAAATATTTATTGAGACTCTACTAGGCAGGAGGCACTGTGCTACACTATAATCCCCTTGGGTCCTTCCAACAACCATGTGAGATAGGCCTTATTACCTTACTTCACGAAAGAGACACCTTGCCCCCAAAGATTAAAATGGTTTCCTGAAGCTTCCATACTCAGTAAGGAGCAGAACCAAGATGTAGGCCTAGGACCCACATTATTATCTGGATTTGCCATTGCCTTGCCGTGACTGATGGCGCTGCAGAACTAACAAGTGAAGGGATAGCTCCGTGCTATTTCCTCTTTCCCAGACACTGTGCCAGGCGTCAGGGTGCTAGGATGACAAAGACTCTGTCACATCCTTTGACTTCCTAAAGCCTAGGGCAGGGTGCTCTCAAGTAACAGGCAAAAGTGGTTGATCTGACAAGCGCTGTGATAGATGGAGCCCCTCGTCTCTGGACTCAGAGAAGATGGCCACCCACTCTAGCCTGGGAGGTCAAAGAAGGTTTCTCAGAGCTTGTCTATCTAATGATAGATCCGGCATGCCTAGAAGGTATTTGTGGTGACCCTAATGTTTTGCTTAAACCAATAGAACATACTGTTTGGGTGGTGAGGAAAGGAGGGTTAGAAGTGTTCTTTGTGGCTTAGGGAAAACAGCCCAGGTTTAAAAAAAAAAATCTCTCCCCAGATAACCTATGGAAGAGCTAAGAATCACAAGGCCATCATTGATTTCCAGTGTGTAAGATTTGCTTGAATACGGGCCCAGCTTGGAATATAGAATTCCTTGCTAATGGCTTTGCAAGCTGGAGAGAAGTGGGGGGCTCTTCAAAGATCAATGCAATGTCCTAGTCATCGTAAGCACTGATTACAAGGCCCCATATTAGTACTCTGACACTTCCTAAAAGCAACAAATGTTTCCCCGTGTTAATTGCTGGGGTGAAAGGCAAAGTCTGAGGCCCCTCCCAGGCCGGGACTCCCAGCCGGTCCCTGGGGAAAGAGGGACAACAGCCACAGCCTCTACGGAGACCTCCCAGGACAGGTGGGTGGGCGTGGGGACTGTGACGCACTGTCGGCTGTGTGCGGCAAGCCTGGCCCGCCGCCTCAAGTTGCCTTCCACGTTTGTGCCGACACTAAGGAGTAGGTGTAACTATCTCCACTTTAACCCCCGAGAAAACAGACTCAACACCCGGAAGAGCACCGTTCAGGGGGTTTTTCTATAATAGTGGAAGTAGATTCTGTGCTCTCTGATCCGGCTGCCACTTGCTCCATCCAGCTATTGAGGACTTGAAATGTGCTTACTGTGGCTAAACAATGGAAAGTTTGTTTTCAATTTTTGTTGATGTAAATTGTCAAAGATAAAAAGATCAGAGAGAGATTAACCAGTGGTCCCCCACCTTTTTGGCACTAGGGACAGGTTTAATGGAAGACACTTTTTCCATGGACTGGCAAGATGGGAGATGGTTTAGGTATAACTCAAGCTCATTACATTTATTGTGTGCTTTATTTCTATTATTATTGCATCAACTCCATCTCAGATCATCAGGCATTAGGTGCCAAAGGTTGGCGAGCCCTACTAAGGGACTTGTCCAAAATCACACAATTAGTTGGGAGCATGGGTCTCTAAACCCAAGTTTCTGTGACTAAAGGGATGGGAATTTTCCAGAAAGTGGTAACACATTCAGTCTTTCCGTTGTTAATCCTCTTTCTCTTCTAGATCTGATTCAGAGAGTGTGGCTCATTTTCTGCCCATCCTAATGACTGCAAAATCATCCTTCAGTGATGGAAATAATTCCTTTAAAAGTAGGGGGAGGCGTTTTTATTTCCTAGCAGTGTAGGTCCCAGGCCTTAGAGTTGTTACCATGAAATGACACAGCCAACAGAGAAGGCGGTGTTCTCTGATCTAATAACGATCAGATACCTGAATGTATGTAGGAGACAAAACTGCCTTTATGTGCACTGGGGTTATGACAGAAGGGCCAGAGCAGGGCACAGTGAAGAACAGCATTTATACCTTGCTGCTACTGCTGCTAAGACACTTCAGTCGTGTCCGACTCTGTGCGACCCCATCCCTGGGATTCTCCAGGCAAGGACACTGGAGTGGGTTGCCATTTCCTTCTCCAATGCATCAAAGTGAAAAGTGAAAGTGAAGTTGCTCAATCATGTCTAACTCGTCTCGACCCCATGGACTGCAGCCTACCAGGCTCCTCCGTCCATAGGATTTTCTAGGCAAGAGTACTGGAGTGGGGTGCCATTGCCTTAGAAACCCCAAAACTCCCTTCAGTCCCCCATCTTAGAGTGGAAGTGCGATTTCCCAGACACAGTAGCAAAGTCTGGTTCATTGATTCATCCTCTTCTTCCTCCCCTCTGACTTACCAACTTAACAGAGGAGATCTCAGCGAATGAGTCTGAAGCAGGAATGCTACTTTGTCATCAGAAACACCCAGTAAGACAAACATAAGGACTTCACAAATTTACCTTGCACGCACCTCGTTTGGAAGAAGCAGAAACTCAGGGGAAGAAGGGACTTGCCCGAGACCTAACCAAAACGTTCCTAGCCCCCAGCGAGCTTTTCCATGTCTGGTTGGGCTTCTGAAGCTGCTGTGACAAATTTGCCTTCCGTATCCGTTCTGCAGAAGCCAAGGTGAAGAGTGTGACGACATGAACAAGATCAGTGGGGATGGCTGCTCCCTCTTCTGTCGGCAGGAAGTCTCCTTCAACTGTGTTGGTAAGTCTGCCCTTTCTCTGGGCCTCGCTGGAGAAGTGGACGGTGCCGGATGGCTGGTCAGTTAGAAGAATAGCAATGGTTATAACTAAATGACGATTCACTCCTTTCTATCACGCGTATGCATTGAGTGCCTCCTGGGAGCCAGACACTGTTTTAGGCACTAGTGAACACAGCCAAGGAAACAGACAGACAGAGGTCAGGCATTCTGCCCTCCTGGAGCGTACGTTCTCATAGGTGACGGTGCTAATGGATAACCCTTCTGATCTAGCTTCATCTTACACTGACTGCTCTTCTTCATGCCAACCGTCTGGGATGGCTATTATTTGTGTAGATGTTTAAGGCTTTTATTCTTCCTTTAGAGATGGGAAAAACACAGAAGCCAGAGAGCTTGTGAAACGCGTCCAGAGTCACACAGGTTAGGCTTGAAGACAGAACCAGGACTTGGACCTGATCTTGTCTGATTCTTGCACACAAGCTCAGTTCATTTTCCTCCACGGCCTCCAGCCAGGATCCAGGTTCTCTGACTTGAGGAAGAGGAATCGCAGACCAGCCCATGTTTAGAAAGCAAATGTCCTTTTCCCACCTTCACGGAGTCAGATGGGAAATTTGTTTTCCTCCGCCTTCTCCAGGAGTCTGGTTGGTCATGTTGTTTTAGCCCCACTTGGGAGGCCCCTGGTCAGCCTGGGGGTGGGGGGCTGGTAAACAGACAAGGGTTGGGGGGCAGGGATGGAATTTTGAGCTGGCCCAGATGAGATCATGCTTCCTTTAAGATGCAAATCGATACCTGAAGATCAAAGGTCCCCTGGCTAATCCCCGGGGCTGGAGGTGAAAACTAATCACAATTCATTTGCAAGTACAAAAGACAGAGGTGCTCCATCTAAGGAAAGGAGGAAGGCCTCGGTGGGAAGATTTCTCTCTGAAAGGCAGTTTTCTTGGAGGACTGGAGGGAAGGAAATGCCATTGGTTCTTCTCTTTGCAGCACCTCACAGGCAGCTTTTAGACCTCCCTTCTCCTGGCATGCTGTGAGCTCTTTACCACGTATCATTTATGGTGTATTCCATTCTCAAACACGTTTATTGACCACTTACTTTCTCCTTGGCACCAAGGCTGAGCACCACAATAGAGGCGCCCCACACCTGTTCGTAGATGGAAGAAAAGGAAGATACGGAGCGGGGAAGGACAGCAGAGGTTCCAGGCAGGGACTTTGGTTTTTAAAGTGAAGATTTTTTTCCCTCTCTCTCTCTGTTGATTTGAGTATGATTCATAATAAAATCTTGATATGAACCTAGTGGTCTGGTAGAAAGAGCCTTGGATTAAATGTCAGAAAACCAGGCACTCTGGTCCCAGCTATGCTGAGAACATGTTAGTTGAAACTGGCCAAGTCACCTCCCTAGTCTGGACTTCTGACTGACCTCCCATAAATTGAAAGGATTATACTAGGTGCTCTCTAAAAGCCTTACCTGCACTTCTGCTGTGTGGTTTCCAAAGTGTGTGACTATTTCTCATAATTGTGAGCTCTGCTCGAACCATCTCTCACCGTGGACATCATCCTCATGACACCCAAGCATACACTCAGATCCTGCTGGACGATGTCCACCCATTTTACTAGCATTAAGATGGCGTGTGGCTCAAGGGCTTCTGGCCAGAGTTAGACTGTGGTGAAGTTAGGATGGTAGGGTCTGTGGAACAGGTCTGCAAGTCACAGTCCATGAGCTGGAACTGGTCTACCGCCTATATTTGTAAATAAAGTTTTCCAGAATGTACCAGGGGCCTCCGTGGTGGCTCAGACCATGAAGAGTCCTCCTGCAACGAGGGAGACCAGAGTTCGATCCCTGGGTTGGGTAGATCCCCTGGAGAAGGAAATGGCAACCCACTCCAGTACCCTTGCCTGGAGAATCCCATGGACAGAGGAGCCTGGCAGGCTACAACAGTCCATGGGGTCGCAAAGAGTCGGACAGGACTGAGCGAATAACCCAGAATGCAATAATACAGAATAATACAGGATGCTCAGCGATGTCCTTGTGACCCCATAGACTGTAGCCCGCCAGCCTCCTCTGTCCATGGAATTCTCTAGACAAGAATACTGGAGTGGGTTGCCGTACCCTCCTCCAGGGGATCTTCCCGACCCAGGGATCAAACCCAGGTCTCTTGCATCTCCTGCATCGGTAGATGGATTCTGCACCACCTGGGAAGTGCTAGAACACAGTACCCATCTTTCATTATCTGTGGCTGCTTTTTTGCCGCAACCATAAAGCTGAGTAGTTGCAACAGGGACCCCAGGGGCTGAAGAGCCTAAAATATTTATTTGGCTCATTACAGATGACATTTCTTGGTCCACAGATTTTGGATCTCTGATATTATTGGTTGCTAGAGACTAGTGCAAAGAGGAGATGAACATTATGGCATGGTTCACCACTTCTTAGAAAAAAATAACTGCATTTTATACCTACAGTAGTGGGGCCTGGGAGACTCAGAGTCGAGTCCTCTCTTCTTTACCTCTAGAGGCATTGCTTCCCCACCCACACTTTGGCCCAAGTAATTGGAATAGATCCTGATTTTCAAGCTGTGTTCACTGAAATGCTTAAGAGGGAGAAAAGAGAAGATGAGGACGTTACCAAGAGGATGAGACTTGGAACCTCAGGATCTGCTTTATATTGTTATTCTTTAAGAATTTATTTATTTACCTTTTTATGGTCTCACTAGGCCTTTGTTGCTGCGTGCAGACGCTTTCTGTTTGTGGCGAGCGGGGGCTCCTCATGACGGTGGCCTCTCCTGTTGCAGAGCGCAGGCTCCGGGCACGCGGGCTTCAGGCAGCACGTGGACTCAGTCGTTGTGGCTCATGGGCTTAGTTGCCCCCTGGCATGTGGAGTCTTCCCGGACCAAGGGAAACTGTGTCCCCTGCATTGGCAGATGGGTTCTTAGCCACTGTGCCACCAGAGAAGGCCCTCGGCCTACTTCCCATACGATTATTCCCCAGTAGATCCTAAATGTTCTGCCGTTGCTGATGACATGTATTGAGTACCTATCATATGCCGGACACATTTCTAAAGTGTCATTCTCCTAAGAACTCTTTCATTATCCTTCATTTACGAACCAGGATGCTGAGGCGTGGGGAGGTGAACTAAGGATATGCAGTCAAGTGATAGAGCTGGGACTTTCACCCAGAGAGTCTGACTCTAGGGCTCATGGTGAGGAGCTTCCTGCAAAATATTTTTTTTACCAGACAGCTCTTGGTCTGGTAGAGCTTTGGGAGTGTGAGCAAGGAACATACTGCTATGGAACAGTTCACTTAATGAATTAATGGAATGGAATACAGAACTGTCAGTGGTGTGGACAGCATCCAGGGAAGGCTCTGCGTTCCCCCTGCCTGGTGACTGTGGTTGTGTTAGAGGAGGCACCTCAGTTAGTCACCCCCACCTCACCGTGTAGGAGTCCATCCTAGGCACTCCGAGGGACAGGACATTCCAGGAAGAAAGGAGTCTGTCCAGAGATCCCGGCGCCTAGAAACTACATTCCAAGAACAGACTCCATGGCTTTAGAGGAAGAAAAACATCTTCCTCTAAGAAGAATAACAGAAAAACAGACAGTGAATCTGTGGCTCCCAAAAGATCCAGCTCAGATGAGTCAGAGAAATGGGACTGGAATGTGGGAGGCGTTGCTGGGGTGGATGTTGTTCTCATCATGACACATGGCAAGACGCTGGTCAAGGTGGTAGCCAGGAGAACAGGCTTGAATGAGACTTGACTTGGGTTGACACCATGACTTAGACATGTGGTCTTGGCTGAGCTTCAGTGTTCTCATCCAGAAAATGGGAGCAGGCCTGGGACTTCATTGTGGAAGATGTTTACCAATATTTGTGGACACATTATTTCAATCCCTTTCCCAGATTTAGGAAAGAACTCTCCTTGTTGTAATAATAGTGAGGCAGAGCCCCGCCACAGAAGCTGGTAGTGCAGAGACTTCCCTGGCGGTCTAGTGGTTAAGACTCTGCATTCCAGTGCAGAGGGTGTGGGTCCAGTCCCTGCTGGAGAAGTTAAGATCCCACATGCCTAGTGGCAGGGAAACCAAAAGATGAAACAGAAGCAATATAGTAACACATTCAATAAAGGCCTAATAAAAAAGAAAAGAAGTTAGTAATGGCAGCACCTCTGAGCCCCAGTCCTCCTTGTAACTGAATGTGGGCATGTGACCTACCCTCTCCCCTGATCACCAATCAGACACATCAGCCCGAGGATGAATCAGAAGACATAGGGACTCTGATTCATCAAAGCAAACCCATTTGATGAAGATGATGGGAGTGGCCACAATCCCTGTGTTTCCACAGTACCGCTGACAGCACCCAGCAGTCGTGCGGAGAGGATTTTGTGCAGCCATAGCTCTGAGATGTCTTCACAAAAACAGTCCTGGGGCTTCCTTGTGAGCTCAAAATCAGCCTTCAGAACACTCTCCAGCCCTCCCAGGGAGTCTTCCATCAGTACCCAGTATTCTTTGAATAGATACTTCTTGTTTGCTTGTTTTGCCTGACTTGGCCAAAGTTGGTTTCTGCTGATTGTCACTTAGAAGCCCTACTGAATGTTGTCATCAGATGCGGTGAGGTCCAGCCCTGTTCCCAGCAAATTGAATGTGTTTGATGCACATTACCCAGTACTTCCCTCAGTGAGCGTTGGGATGTGGGTGAATATCAGCACCGCCCACCACATGTGGGTATTCACCAGGCAGCCTGCCCTATGTCATGCACCTTTGTTTAAGGTGAGCCTGTGGGAGGTCTCTTACATCCAGATGAGGGATCTGAGACCTACTAGGATGCCCAAAGGGGCTTCCCAGGTGGCGTCGTGGTAAAGAATCCGCCTGCCCATGCGGGAGATGCAGGTTCGATCCCTGGATCGGGAAGATCTCCTGGAGTAGGAGATGGCCACCTGCTCCAGTGCTTTTGCCTGAGAAAAACCCATGGACAGAGGATCCTGGTGCACTGTAGTCCTTGGGGTTTTGTGAAGAGTTCT